GTGCCATTTTCAATTCGATATTGCTCTCCGTAAAACTGACTATCAACTAATCTGTTTGTCACAACTTTGTACCCATGAAACGGGTTTCAATGGGTACGTTTCAAAGTGCGCTTGTGGTGGTGTACACTCATTTCTGTGCAACGCTTATTTGTAGGTACCACACAAAATATTTTGTTTTGCACCTAATAAAGCAATTTTCTGCGTTCAAATTTCATTAATTCTTCCAGGAAATCTCAAATATCAAAATTACATATTTTATTTCCAGAAATATTCTTATGAGAAGAAATATGGTATCATTTAATATGTAGATGAAAGGTGTACGTTCGATTTTGAGAGCCACTGTATGTGAAGTGTGCGGTGGAAAACAAAATAACTTTAGTCTCACTCACAAAATCAACGAATTGTAACCTTTTACAATTTAAAAAATACAAGTAAAAGAATAGTTATTACTATTTCGCTTACTACGTCAATTTTTTTCTCAAACAGAGCTAAAAATGGCCCAGGTCCCATTTTTGTTTAACTCCCAGATGTTTTGAAAGTTACAAATAATACAAGGAAGTATGAACTGTTGAAGACCTATTAGTTATCTTATCTTTGTCTCTATAATCAATAAAGTGTTAAAATCATTTGAAGGACAGTTCCTTACTTATCCATCTAGTATTGACAACCTGAGCTACAACACATATGGAAACTCCTTCCGACCTCGACCTATCCGCTATAGAAAACATTAGGGCTGGTTCAGCTCTCCAGACACCTACTTATCTGCGTCCTTTCTAAACAATTCTTTGGAATCACCTTTACAATTTACTGATATTCCAGTACATGTTCCGAAACATGTTCTCGTATGAGCTTGAGAGTATCAACAGTAATGATAAACAAGTCACAGAATGTGCTAACCAAAATGTTTATTAAAATCCATTGCAGGGGGAGCCAACGAAGCTCGTGGCATCCTACACTCAATCTCGGATGTCGTTTCCCCCTCTCTAAGCGAGTTTTTCCATCCTCACTTAAAGTTTGTTACGATTAGCCAATTCATAAATTATATAAAGTAAATTAGCGATAATCCAAAAAGTCAAACTTGCATCGTCAAATAATCAGCTAGAAATGTTTCTGATCAGTTACAAAAACCAACAGATTTGAAAAACAATATTATATTATAAATAGTTAATTTTCAGTTTCTTTAGCCTAGAGAATTTCCAGTGTATTTAGTGAAACTTCGAACCGAGCACAAGCACTCTAGTAGCTCATGTTTTTACCCAAAACGGCCTCTCAGCTATTCTCGTTCAAACCAGACTAGTTCGTCTATTGGAATTCCTTTCGACGTTTCGAACCATTGTGTTCACAATAAAAAAAAATTGTAATTCAAGTTACAGAAACTGATAAACAATGTGCCCCCTGGTCTCAATTTAGATTAACCTTACATCCTTCAATATCACTGTACTGTCAAATTCATTGGAACCACAGACAGAAATGTAGTTTATAAACACTTCACAGGATGCTACATGTATGAACTAGCATAAATAATATTTTTCCTTTACATTTGAAGTAAATAACAACTGAATATTACAACAACGTCTAGTAAAATCACATCCAACCTCGTAATGGTGGCGATGGCACATCAGTTAAGCATGCTCCCTCTACATAGTTGGCGTCTTTCGAAGCTAGGAAATTAAACCCTGTATCCCGTTCTACCCAGATTCCCCTAGATATTATTAAAGAGTGTTATTGTTCGAATATTACATTATTATTTTTAAATTAAACCCCTTAAAACAACGCATAAATCATATTATTACATTCAAAAAATGAATAGTACGAAAATGTCCCAAAAATGCATTCCTTGCTTTAAAAAGAAAAGTCTAAAGTGGTGGGCTACATGTATCCAACATAACAGGTTTTGTAGTGAAAATAGCATGCTGCCAGAGACAAAAGTATAATTTTAAATAAAAATTTATTACGAAGTTCTCCCTCTTCCCTAATGATTATCTTCGAAAACGAAAGACTAATGCCAAAATAAATGCAAAGTGATGCAATAAATGCAAAGTGACCAGATTGTAAATAAATTCTAATTCTGCTGTAGATGTCAACAGTTCAACATTTCTTACATTTCAATTTAAAGAATTGCAAAATAAGTAAGACGAATAACTAAAGGAGTTATCCGAAACATACAATCTGAGGAGAGAGAAATGTTTAGGCCAATGAAACTCTTGATAGGACGGAATGATGTGACAAAACAATGTGTAAGTTATGAAAAGCTTCAAAAAAAGTTCATAAATCAATTTTCAAGCGATGTTTGTTTACAGTGCCAGCCACGATGGTTAACTTTGTGGGAAACGGTACCCTAAAAAATGTAAACACTAATCAATCTTGCAAATCGTGGGTCGGCAATAGATCAACGCTACGCATATATATTGTTCGCGGGCTGCAATAGTGTTACAAAAAACAAAACAAAACAAACAAAAAAACATCAGATATTGAGATAAATAATGTTGAAGTTTTCACCTTACATTGAAATGAATCAGTTTTGCATTCACTCTTCTGCCATTTGATGGCGAGATACTGTACTGTAAGATATGCTGCAGTTGCTGCTGGGATTCAGCAGAGTGCATTAACTCGACATTCGTATTTTTTGGTTATGCCACTATCGCAACCCATGATCGATGTGTTGATTACAAGTAGGTGTTCTCTGCGCTGCATGAACACGTGATGCAATCATTCTACCGTACAGGCGGAGCGGGGGCGTGAGAAACTTACGTTAATAACTGTAATCGCGAAATCTCTGGGAAATAGGATCTTCAAGCATCCGTGGTGCTAATGGCAACGACTTCCTGGGAAAATTCAGCAAATGAGAGCAGGAAGTTTGTTGCTATCTTCAAGAGATGTTTTTCTGTTCTATTTAAGTATCTGTCAAAATTTAAATGTTAAATGTTTTTACTAGATGAATAAAAATTACAAACGCACATTCGTATTAACACCATATCCAACATTCTATAATTTTCAAGAAAGTAGCAGAAATAACAGTGTTTACTGGAAAGCAAAACCACCGTGAACGTGTGTAAATCATAATTATTTTTACAATTTTCTAGGAGTACCAAATATCACTTCTCTGCTTGGTCGCCAATCCTCGGGGCCCTAGAATATCATATACTAATTGCGATATTTCTTACAAATAATATCGTTAGAATAGATTATTGCACCATGTCCAAATGCGAATGAGAACAGCGACTATAGAAAATGCACTCCTTAAAAAAGAAAACAAATCTCGAAGTTTCAAAAACCTCTTTGTTTTTATTTGTCCATGTTGATTTGCATTTGTCATTTGTCCTTGATTTCCCCGTTCTAAAGTGTCTGCCCATATCTATACACCTCCACTCAGTCAGGTGATCATTTAACACACGAGGTGCATGTTGTCATTCAGTCAATGCCAAAAGGAAGTTGGGAAAACGTAACAGATTATAATCCGATTATTATCGAAGAGATTCTGTCACTTGTTACCTGCTTACCCAAATTAACTGGTGACTAACGTTTTCAATACAAAATCGACTTGTTTATATGTAGACTGCAGACATTTCAATTTTATTTCAATAAAACATCAGACATCCGCAAATGTTCATCAAAATATATACGAAAATAAAAGCGTTGTTTCAATTATTTAATCATTGTATTTAATTTTCACACTTCATGATATTGCAGAACTCCAGGCACCATTAATTCGTCAAACACAATACACAGGTTTTCGTGTAATTTGTTTCTAACGCGTCCAAATAGTTTGAAACGACGACCGCACGCACCCGAAGGCCTCTTGTCGCGACGCGAGTGCGTAGAAGTGCGTAGCGCGCTTACCTCTTAGGAGGTTGTCGGAGGACGAAGTCCAGCCAAGACGACGTATGGCGTTGCGGAGGTCAGCTGCGAACGCTGGACCCGTAGCACGGCCTCCTGGCGTTAACAGGACCAACAAGGCCTCCTGGAACCGGTTTGACGGTCGAGGCTGGTCATCGGTGGCGGCGTTGTCATTCCAGTAATTGGCGATACCCGAGCGAGGATTTCGGAACTCTCCCGCTCGCCGCGGCCGACCTTGCGCAACCTCGCACCTCCGTTGTCCTCCCCTCCCGATCCCAGCGACGTCTCGCGCCAGACTGAGCGAGAAACGTTACCGGAAGTACGGAATTATATTGGCGAAAGAATGGATCGGAAGGACACTGGAGCCATGACGGGGGCAATTTGCTCATAAACCAGACTTAATTGGGAACCCGAATTTTTGTATCAATCAAAACGTACAAGAACTATTTACTTCCAATTCAAATTAACCGCTGTAGTAATACATGTGTTGAGCAAACTCAGACATTTATAAAAGGGGTTTGTCGTAATTTATAATTTTATTAAAAATATAATTATAAAAATGTATATAATGCATCTTTTCTGAAGAACTATAATTAACTTTTTAAAATATTTATAACAATAAAATATGCAAATGGAGAAACTTTTGTTTGAAATAAAGGGCCAATGTGGATCAACTACTCCAGCCCTCTTGTTGCCCCTGCAAGAAAGGGCCTAGTGATGAATATTTTGTTTTGTATCTCTGCCTAGAGGTTGAGGAATCAATGGCATGATAACAGTATAACAATTCCTCAGACTTGATGGCCTCGTATTTCTTGGAATAAATTTCCCTGACTTTTCTTAGTTTTCTAGTGCGATTTTTGTATTTACTTATTTATTTATTATTTTTTCCTTGAGATGTAAGAGAAGGAAGAATTTTTTCCCAAAGTGAATCTTTTCTTGAGTAATTTCACTCTATTTAAAGCAAATATTAAAGCTTCTCTGATACTGGTGCCAATTGGCCTGTTCTTTTATGTCACTGAGACAGAGTTCAAATTAACAATATTTCATCAATAAATAAAAATTGAGAAAAAAAAACCTCTACACTAATATTTTTAAAAAATATTATTTAGTTTTAACCCTCTCAAAAGTTTCCCTGCCTTTTAACAATACTTCTATAAAGTCCCTAACTTTTCCCCGACATTTCCAGACAAATTAATTCTTTTTTCCATGTTTTTCAGAAAGTGGTCATCCTGTCAGAGATACATCAATTCTAGTGTATCAATTCAGATAGATTTAGCATCTTAACTTGATCAACTTGCATGTAACGATTTCAAGCAATTGGACACTTCAGGCCGTTTTGTTTGATTGTTTGTTTGTTGGTTTATTTATTTGATACATTGTCTTTCAAGTAATTAAGATTACCATCAACTGTTGTCTTCAAATTTCACTTCAATACAACAAAAGTAATGTGCAAAGATACATTATCTTAAAGTTCTCTGTATAAGGAGGAGGAAAGAAGTGAAATAAAATAACACATGTTCACAGATCAACAACACATTATATTAGCAATACAAATGAGAGCACTGCTCATAGTGTAATGAATAACATCATGTTCAAAACCATATGCATAGTTGAACATACTTTCTTATGAAAGGAATGACATTGGAACTACGAAGACATGAAAGAATGAACTTTCCCAAAACTGGAAAGCCATTTTGTGATAAATTAAAATATGGTATGCTACTGACACAGGGATTCTTATGGTTGTACTTACATATAGTTACTTATTTATATATAAATATAATGTTTCCAATATTCATTTTTCCACAAAAGTACATATCTGGAAGAAATGACAAGTACTAAACTGACACACATTCATTATTTATATGAAGTTCAAAGAATTTTTTAGCAAAATTTTACCAATGGGTAGATCAAAAACCTTGAGATATTCCCTATCCTAGGCTCTGAATATCTGACATAAGAATAATTACATAGAGAGCAGTAGGTACAAGTTCCTTAGGCAAAACGAGCCCAAATTATTGCAGTCATAATATACTGATCATCAGAAAATTTGCAATTTAAAATAAAATTGCAAATGAATGTACAATACAATCCTCAGACTTTAATGGCAGCAAACTAAAACATTCATGGTTTCAATTTGCAAAAGGGTGAGGTCTAGGACACCTATGCTTCACCGCTAATGAACAGCCTTTCAGAAAGGCATCCACTGCAATGTGAATCTATATTTAAAACATCACAAAGAAACAGGGCCCCATCCTACACTTTGTCAGCCTGGAAATGGAAACATGTCATGAAGCTGCTGCTGTACAGCCAGCCGCAGTTGTACAACTTTCAGGCAAATGACTCCTTCCCTCCAGGTTCAGCTGACTTCTTCACTGGCACCTCCAAGGACCTACAAAATTAACAAACAATGAATACTTTTTTATCATTACAGTTGTAAGTTCCTAACATTCTTTAGTTGCAACTTCAAATATTGATCTGCCAGGAAAGTATTATTAGTATTAGATAAATAATTCTAACTGATGTCAGCTGGACCAATCTATTATTACATTAATTAGTAACTTTTGAAACTGATAACTGAACCAGCAAAAGCTGCTTATCAATTAAATAACAAGAGTAAAGTTGACATCAACAAGATTTTTTTTTAACTTAAAATTTTCCAACAATATTGTGTGACTCATTCAACTGTGGAGTAAAATATTTTTTGTCCTGATAAATTAAATAATTTTTATAACCGAGATGTAAGATTGCAATATATTTTAATGAAGTATAATATAATTATAAAATTATATTTTAAGGATTATTAAATATCATAAATGTGTGCAATGAAGACAGATTATTTTTCATTCACTTTTCTATTTGTCCATCGTATAGTACAATCTCTCCTCCTTGAAATATTTGTTTAATTATGTGTGTTCAGATCAGATCACACCTTTCAACAGAAAGCTGTCCAAAGAAACTTACCTTGGAGACACATCCAGATCCAACGATGGCCTATTAGACCTCGGGCTGGAATTCATTCTGACTTTGTGGTTAGCCAGGAAGGTGTTAATTGATTCATCTGAGCCATCACTATCATGGTCACTGCGAAAAAATTTAAAATGCTGAATTGATCGCTTCCTTGAAATTTTACGTAAGTGTAATGCAACAAAAATTTATTTGCATAATGAAAAATGATTCACCATCACTTCTAGTAATACAAGGAACCTAAGGTTAATTTCAAAAAGGTCTACTCAAATGTCTGACCAAATCTTTCTTCACTTCTTTAATACCCGAGTACATTGTACTGGAAATCTTCGCAATTTTCAAGAGATATAGGCATTGCCAGATACAGGTGCAGATACTACATCTACATATGAAAGAAGTGATGCAATTTACTGTCTGATTGTACAGAAATTGTCACAATGTGCATTGCAAACAAGACAGTGATCCATGCAGTTCTTTCACTTGTGCAGTAACATTACATTTAAGTGATGTTCAATTATTTCATGCACTTATCTAAGAGTGAATAACTCAGAATTTAATTATTAAGAGAACTGTTTTTAATACATGCTTTTGCAGGGTCTATTCACAGTTTTGCAATTGCATGTTTTTGTTATTACAATCATGCACACAACACAATTACAGAGGAAGTTCAGTAGTTTTGGCAAGTTTAATATTGTCATCAGTCAGGGAAAAAGGGTGAGGTACAGTCATACAACATTGGTCATGGGATGCACACCAAAAAATAATTTGCATACAATTTTTTTGTAAACATAACATTTAATAACTTGTCCACAATAAATTTCACACAACACATTTCAGTCTCTTTCACTTGTGCCACATACATCTACTTTAATATCTCAAGATATAGACTAATTTTTTTTCCCTTTTATCTTTCTCTTTTTTATTTAAAATTCTCCTCACCTCTCAGTGCGATCTGGGTCACTGCCACTCGATTCCTCTTCCAGCTCACCCTGCATGGCAGCCTGCAAGTCTTCAATGCGAGCAAGTGCTAGTCGCAAATCTCCTCTAGCACCTGCAGCTTCTGCCTCTGCCGCTTCTAGGCGCTTCTCAAGCTCCCGCCTCCGATGTGCCCCTTCTGATTCTCTTGCCACAATTGCAGCCTGTTCTTCTCGGGCTTCACGTAATTGCCTTTGCAGCCGCCTTGCGGCATCCTGAGCAGCTTGTTCCTTGGTGCGCAAGCTAGCAATCTCATCCTGCAGCTTCTCCACTGCCTCTTTCAAGCGTGTGATTTGAACCTGTTTGATCCAGTTTATTAGTTAATGTAGTTATTCATACATTTCTTTTCCAGCAACATACTTAAAAGTTACATGCCAACTATCTTTTTCATAATTTATATTCTATTCCATTTTATAATAATAAAAATAAACATTAATATGACTTCATTAACAAGGCAACTAAAATTTTAAAAGTAACCTAGAACAATAATACCTACAAATACATTCTTATAGTACTCAAAATAATAGAAATGTAAGATTATAAATTACCTCAAGTCTAGATCTTGTAGTTTGCTCAAGTTCTAGCTTGGACTCCAGCTCCTTAGCACGAAGCTCAAGGCGCTTTTGAGCAAGAGATGATGAAGGGTCTCCCAGGGTCTCCATGTTTTCAAGACGAGATCCCATTTCTGCAAGTTGTTCTTTCAGAGATGCTCTCTCACTCTCTAACTCAGCAACTCTACCAGCTTGTTCTTGAAGAGCCATCTGGTCTACAGACAGCTGCTGCACAGCTGCTCTGTACTTCTTGAGAACCTACATAAAAATATAATCATAGCAAATCTTGCATCAAAACATATTTGTTTTACTTTGCCTCTCACTTACTTAAATTAATCATTTATTTCATGTCTGTTCAGTGCACGTGCACAGTAGCATTCATTAAGTGGTAACACAAATGTTCATTTTAAAAGAAATCTCAGTTAACAATGGAGGACAGCAATTGTTGGAGAATCCATAAATTTGAATCATCTTTAGTTATTTTAAATTATGAAAATCATTCGCCACACTTTATCTGTGTCAACACATTTACTTTTTACTATACTCTTAATGGTTTTATAGAGTTTTGAAATATAGTGTCCTTGAAAAAAAAAACAAGAGATCTCAAAATAATATTACTGGAAATTGTGGCAGTTAAATTGATTTGATAATTTTGAAATTTATTTGTTTCAAATTAAAAAGGGATTAAATTTTAAAACATTGATAGATCAGAGAAAATCAAATTTTATGTAAATCACAAACATCAGATTTTAATTTGTCAAAGTTCTAGTTTCCTTGCCACCCTCAAATAATAATCAATCATAGATTCATGCATTGTAACCATTTTGTGTACTTGTGTAATACATCTGCTGTCATAATTGATTTAAAAAACTTGTCTCAGATGATCTTAGAATATCTCAAGATACCACAAGAACAAAAGCAACATCCAAAACCAGTTTAAGTAGACCCCTAATTATCATAATGATATTTATCACATTTGAAAAGCCTGGTGAAAGAAAGAAAAAGAAAAAAAAAAACTTTCGGGTAATGTAACTAGTAGTAATATTTTGCAATAAAAATAATATTATGTCACTATGACAATAAAGGCCTGTTTTTAAAACACTGACACATAAAAAATAAAATACAATCTGAATATTTACCAACAATCAGCATTGTGATTATTGTTTATTATCTTATGACAAGTTAAATCAACTTTATTTCAACTACATACACAAAATTTCTTATTTTCTTTCTTTTTTTTTTTATTTTTTTATTTTTTTAAACTCAGTTTTTGTAACATTTACAAAAAGTCACAAAAGAACAAGGCCTCAAAAAGCAAAAGACCCATGATGTGTTACATGTGATTGTGTAAACCAGTCTTGGAATTGTCACTGACTAAATGTGAATTGATTAAAAATGAGACAAAACTGTAGATGATAAATCACCTCTGCAAGTTCTTCTTCATTTTCTTCTAGCTGCGACTGCAGCTCTGAGCGCTCTCTGGCCACTGCAGAGGCTCGTTCCTCTGCATCCTGGCGTGCCCTCTGCACTTCCTCTAACTGCGCTTGCGTCTCTGCCAACTCCAATTCAGCTGCCTGACGAGCTTTCACAGCCGCTGCCCGAGCCACCTCTGTGTCCTCCAGCTGCACAAACACATTGCATTCTAGTAAGTAATTATCACAATAAAAAGGGAGTTAATTTTATCAATTTCACATATCTTAATTTTTACTTAAAATCAGACTTTATGAAGAAACAGAAGAAATCTACTTTTTCTTTTCTTTTTGCTTTTTCCACATCATAACAATTTTTTTAAAAGTTTTTTACTTTGACTTTTCGCTGCAAGGAGTCGTCTGTTACAAAGTACTGATGACAGGTCTCAAATAATTTTTGAAACTGCAACATCACATATTTTATAGGTTGCTTTCAATGGTTATGTTTCCTACATTAAAGAGACACTAAAAAATTACTGACCTAAGTGAGGAGAAGTACTGTATGTAAATTATACTGTATACAATGCATAAAATCAAAAGGCGCTCGTATGATGCTGTGGACATGGTATTGCAATAACAGAAGTCTAACATTCATTGACTTCACCAGAACTTCCTTTACCTGATTTCTGAGTTGTCGGATGACAACTTTTCCAGGGGATTCTCCACGTGCACGTTCCAACATGGTCTGTGCATCACGCAGGAGGGCTTTGGTGCGCCGCAAGTCCCTGCGTAATCGATGGAGTGTGTCCTCGTCAGTGACCCGCGCATTCCTATTCTGCTCCTCCAGCACTGCCAGTCGCCGCTCCAGATCATGCCGCTCCCTGACCAGCTGGGTGCGCTCCTCGTGCTCACTTTCCAGTTGCGCCTCCAGAGCTGAAAAAAGTATTTGGGAAAGTTTAAACAGCAGTAAATATAAATTGCAGAATAAAAGAAATTGCATTTAACAACCATGTTATATAGAAATGAAGTGGTCAAAACAATTATTATGGTATATCTATTTTCCTAAGAACCTACACTGATAACAAATGGAGACAATAAGGTCTTATAGAAAAGTCACGTTAATTATGTGTATATTAAAACAACATTCTAATTTAATTTCTCTGTACCAAGAGAGATTATTAAGATTTATTCCATTAATTATTCTCTTTTACTACATGTTACAGCAGAAGCTCTGAAAGCAATGGGACATGCTATAAGCCTGTGACATAGTAGTTGTATTGACAAATTAAGTGGGTGTGCCATGAAAATAAGTTAATAAAAAAATATAAACCCATTCAATTTTGAAACAAGACAACAACTGTATAACAAGCTGATCAATTAAAAATGTTCAGTTAATAATTATATTTTTGTACTTTAAAGGGAAATATGAACTTGCTACTTTTGCACTATAATTCAATACAGAAAGGACTTGCAAAGCCACACATTTATAATTCTTTAGCCAAAGAAGAAAGCCCTGAAGTTTGTTTCTTTGTTTTTTAAATTATTTATTTACAATGTGATCCAATGCTGATCGATTCTTGTTCACGTATATATACATTGTCGAAAACCAAAGTTGTGTCCTGAGGCTCAGAAGCTTCTGTTTGAACACAAAAGCTTCAAGCTTCAGATGTCCTAATACAGACAGGTTTGCTTTTAAAATAAAAGTTTGTTGCAATGTTACGTATAATGAAACAATGTTACGTGTTCTGAGAGCCAAAAAGGTTAGAAAACTGCTCACTTTCTCAATCAGTTTTAGGAAACAATTTTTCGTCTTAAATACCCAGAAGAGTATCATAAATATATCTGCCATTTATACACAGTGTTAATGAGTCCTTTCTTTCTCAAGCTTTATTAATTAGCTTATAACCCTACAATTTAAAAAAAAGTAGATGTATTAACCATTAACAACCAATGAATTGTATTAACCTCTTCCAAATTGTAAAAAACTTTCATTCACATAGATACATACACACACAAAACTGGATCTCAAGTATTATAAGATTAGATACCAATTACTTGTGTCAAAATAATAAATAGTTCAGAAAAAGAATTTGCATAGACTGATTAAATACATTTAATATAACTAATTTATATTATTTATTTAAGGAAAGAACAAAGAAAGCACTTCTCAAACACAATAAACTGTCAAAAAACTTAAAAACTGCAGGATTTTGCAAACTATCAAAAAAGGAAGGACTATGCTAACCTTTAACTTTCTTTTGTGCATTGCATCGAACATCCTCCAATTCTTCATCACGCTGAGATAATTCTCGTCGAGCTTCTTTTCGTTGCTGCTCTAATGACATTTCTAGACGCAGTTTACTTTGTTCCAAGAGCTGAACCTGTCCAGCAAGGTCATCCAGTTCTTCTTCCTAAGAGGCATAATCAGTTATGTAATTAACAAATTCCTGAAGTGACATTAAGATTGTAATAAATTAATCTTAAAAACAATAAACATAGATCAACTGGATGTCCAAGTGTTAACAGATAATTATTATTTTTTTGTTCCTGCTATGAAACAATAAAATGTAATAGTTAACATTTTATTTATTCTAATCAGTGTCATTTCTCAAAAACCTCATTCCTGAAATTTCAACATCACTTAATTTATCAACATAGTATTTTCCAAACAAACCTGTTCCTTAAGTTTCTTCTCCAACTCATGTTTGTTCTTTTTAAGATGGGCTACTTCTTCCTCCGTTTTGCCACCAAACATGAGTTCATCCAACTCTTGAGTTAAAGAACTCACACGATCTTCCTTCAGTTCAAGCTCCAATCGAATGCCCTAATTAACACAAATACATAAAAATTACTAAATACTACATGAAAGCAGTTCTACTATGAAGAAGTAAAGGAATTTACTGAAACCTCTGTGCGAATGGCAGACATGTTAAACATTTACTAACTTCTTTCTAACTAACTTCTCTCAGATATAAGCTAACATGTTTAATTACTACTAAGTATTTATCATTTTTACAGTTCAATTAGCAATGTCCTAAATATAGGATTATCACAGACATTAAAAAAAACAACAACAAACAATCAATGGTTCTTCTCTAAAAGAATACAACTTTGTGCATAACTTACAGAGATATTTTGTTCCAGAGAATACTTTTCAGCAAGTGCTATCTCCTTTTCCCTTGATGCCCTTTCATGCTGTTGTTTTTCTTGTCGTAATTCATCTTGGAGCAATTGTAATTCTGAGTCAAACCTATGTACATAATTTAATTTATATTTGAATACAGTTATTTGAATTATTTTAAATTGTGAGTACATTATTTAAAACAAAAGGAAAAGAAAGACAAATTCTAACTTACTTTCGCTGTTTCTTCTCAAGAAGGTTATTCCTTGAATTCTGTTCCTCAAGCAGAAGATGCAGATCATTATGATCAGCATTTAGCTTTTGTACTTTCCTCTTCCACTGAGCAACAACTTGCCTTTGCTCTTCAACCTCCTCATAAGCATCAGCCAGCTATACAGGTTAACGGAGATGGAACAAACATCAGAAAACATTTTCTTGTCTCTACCAAAAATTTGTTAATTTGTTCACCACACTGCGATTTAAATTTCTATTCAACTTATTAATAGGAGAGGTGCATACGGGGGGGGATTCAGGCTTCCATACAATAATACCTCTATTTTCTTCACACCTTAATTTAGCTGCACTAAAGTTTGCCATTAGAAATACACCACTATATGACAATTAAATTATAACCAGTAAATACTATTTGACCAAGTGAAAATAATTTGCTAAAGTATTGTTTTTCTCAAACTACAATCTTTAAAGACGGTATGTTACAATAGAACTAACCTTCTTTTCAAGCTGTTTCTTCAACGCCACCAGCTGCTCCAAGTCATCTTCATGCTGCTGTTGCAATCTTCTTCGGGTGAACTCCAACTCCCGCATTGTTCGCTCATAGCGCTGTTTGTACACTTCCGTGTCCCCTTCTCCATCTTCATCTTCCTCTGAGCCCAGCACTCCATTCATATCTGCAGCCCTGAGACAGAGGAGTTCCATCTCCAGCCTTTCACCCTGCTGGCTTAAGTTCTTGTTTTGACTCTGGAAAACAAAACAATAAATGAAGAGAGACAAAGAAAAAGTAATTAAATTGACCACTATTTAAATTTTCTTTGAAAGCAAAATGCAAACTTTATATGTCAAAAATGTCATTTAGCAACTTCAGAGAGATTTTAATTACAATAATAAAAAAGTCTTTAGAACTACATAACACTTGATTCATTGTGAATTCCAAAGCAAATTATTGTGTAAAATAATTTTGTGAAGAATATTTCAAGTTTACAAAATTGTATGGTAGCGAGAGAAAACTATTTATGATTTCTTTCAAATTAACACTGATAGAAAAGTTAAATTTTAAATTAAAAAAACAACAACAAAAGAAAACACCCACTCATTGGTTTGTTGACCAATTCATCAAACTTCATGCACAGGAAAATAAAAATTATTAACACAAAAAATGAAATGAAACTTTTTACCTGAACATCTTGGAGCTCTTTTTCTAGTCTTAGGCGTTCTGATGTTTCAACTTCCAGTCGTTCAGTGGCCAATGTGGCCGTTGAGTGTTCTTCAGCTAGATCTGCAGTCATTTCACTTAACTGAAAAGTTGTCAGAGATATGCATCATCAGTGTTCTATATCAAAAACAAACAATAATCAATTGATCTTCCCTGATTCCCCCTCCCTCCTTCTTATTTTAAGTGAGGACTATGTGAATGGTAAAAACAAAATTCTAAAACAACACAGGGAAACCATTAATCCAATAATTCTTTAGTTCTCAACTACTATACTGCTGGATATTCAATTCTGAAAAGAAACTATGGAAAAATTTGATTTATGGTCAGAGTATACAAGTAACCTGAATCGAAGCAGCAGATATGGAGGAAACAGAAGGTGAATTGGTATTCCTAAAGCCAGACCACCATGGTGACAATATGAATTTAGTGTTTCCATATAGCCTGGAAAACATTGTAGATAAGTGTTATAGAAGAATTACTGCACATTAATGTTCTAGAGGAATAATGGCTACTTGCATTACTATGAGCCAGTAACTACAGGTTGTCACAAACATTATTACATAATATGTCCAGAAATGATCACAAGGCTGTACACCATTTTAGATCTCTTGTTACAAGCTGTAACCAATCACCATCTTCAACACATAATATGTGAGATGACATGCCCTATCATTTTTCAAGCTTCATTATATTTCACACGAGACCTGGCAATAATGTTATTACACCTCTCTTCCTAGAAACTAGCACAAATCTATACACAAGTAGAAAAAGAGAACTCTGAAAAAACCTTTAACTGACAAACTTGAGGACCCATAGTTCCATCTGGGTCTGTGCTGCACTGCTACCCACTTCAGACTGCTCTGAGATGCCTTGTGCTTTCTCCCTTAATGCATAAAAGAGGCCAATTCCCACCACTAACAATGCTCCCAGCTGCATGTTTCACAAAGAGGTTTCCCACAAGACTTTCATTTTTTCTCCAGGAAACTGGTTTTAAATCTTGAATGCTGCTGTTGAACATAACACGTTGATACATTCACGTGTGCCAAGCTTGTTTCTGATGCTCGGAAGCATTCTTTCTCATGCATGGGAGACTCAAACCATGTAACACAGGAAGTCATTATATCACTACTTAGAATAGAGTATTGCATCAAAACAAAGTCCACTGTGTAAAAGTTCTTTCATAGATTGAAATCCATGCAAAGGTTACTCTAATTTGTCATTGAGACTGATCTACAATACAAAAATAAACGTGCAGAAGGATTTAGGAAGTGCTCTGAAACAAGACACAACCTTCTATCTACAAAACAGGAGAGAGATGAAGCTAGTTACTTTCTACATTTCTTCTTGGCAATCCATACATGAACATTCAAGATAAACCGAACTTTCTATAATCCATGCAAATAAATAATTACATACACTTTTTCAGTGGCTGAAAAACAGAATCCTTGATTTTAGGAACAACCTGTGGCTCATAAATGAAATCAATATATCTCTATTCACTTTCCTCTCTCTTTTGGGTGGATGATAATAAATAAAATAATATAAAATAAAATAAAATGCAGCAAAACAAAACCAAAACATCTATTATGAAGACATGAAAGACAATACTTATGTTTCAATATCCTTACACATGACCAATACCCAACCCTTTTGCACTTTAAATTTCACCCCTTAACACAACACTTTTTTTTCCAGCACAAAAAATAAATTTCACTGAGCCACAAGTAGAATTAGACTAACTACCAGACAAGACAAAGGTTTTACACATACACCATTCTGGGTGAGGTTGGCATTCTGGGAGACAGGCACGTTCCTGGCTACCTCATCAGCTTCCGCTAATGTGTCAGCATCAAAGTCATCATCCAATGTGTCTTGAGACGCTCGTGATCTTGTGCGAGGTGTTGGTTCTTGACGGCTGAGTAGTTGGAATCCTTTAATTAATATATTTGTAACGCTCTTGCTAGAGCCTCTATGGCTTGGAGGAAGTGAAGCCTTAGTATCTGCATCAGGATCTTTGCGTCCAATTCTTTTCCATTCTTCCATAACATGATCGCTCTTCCGCAGAAAGTCAGTTATTTTATTTGACAAAGCAGATGATGCTGTGGTAGGATCTAAATGAGCAGGCATAGGTTTGAGTTGTTGCATCACTGGTGATTTCTTGCCTCCCATCATAAAACTCATTCCACCTTCGAAAACTACAGGCGATTTATCCCTTTCATCAATAGTCTGCAAGTCAAGGTTGGTACTTGTTTGAGGAAACACACGCCGTGGTCCAATGGACCCTGAGCTGAGCACATTTTTTGATGCTGAATAGGAACCACTGTATGTAGATATTGATCCCGTTGGAGACCCTTCCCGAGATGATAGATAAGATGTCCCAGATGCAATGGACATAGACCTGCTCGATCTACTGCGTGGGGAAAAACAGCGGCCATTTGGAGATGCAACGTCCCTTGGTGACAAATATCTAGGGGGCGAATGTCTTGTTGGAGAGAAAACATCCCTTCTGGGAGAAAACGTTTTTCGTGTAGGAGACATTACGGCCCTGTTCGGAGATAGAAAATCTCGATTAGGAGAGAGAAAATCTCTTGAAGGAGAAAACGGTTGACGATTCGGTGACAGCAAGTCTCTTGTGGGGGAGAAGAGGTCACGTCTTGGGGAGGCTACATCTCGCACTGGGGACAAGAGCTGCCTAGTGGGAGAAAACACGTCTCGGATGGGGGAGAAGGCCTCTCTGCTGGGGAGCTGCCGGGTGGGGGCTTGAGGTTGGTGACCAGTGAAGACATAGGAGCGGCGAGATGGGGCAGTGGGGCGGGCTGGGAGAGGGGGTAGGATGTTGGCTGCACCGATGTTCCGGGCTGGGAGCGGGGGAGCACCTGTAGTCCCATTGACCCCAATAAGCTTCTCAGTTAAGCCTCCGGTGGTGAAGGCCTTCCTGGCTGGCTGAATGACTCGTTTGGCCTGTTGTGTGGGGGAGGCTCCATCTGCATTTGGCACATTAGCTGCTGTGTTGTTTAAATTGCCTGACCCTAATTTTGTGTTGCCAGAAAACATTCTCAGGTTTGTTTTTCTTCAACACTCCATGTTCTTCCAATCTGCACCGAGTTCTCTGAATTACTCTGAGCAGAGAAGTAAAATGCAACAACACTTCAAAATGAAGGTACTTTTCACTCGTCCAAATACTTGTTGGATACACGTGAAAAATGAAAAATTCTTTAATGTAGTAGTCAAGTCCAGGTAAATTTCAACTATTAAAATTAAACAACTGGATTGACAACTTGAGGTAAATCAAAAATAGAACTTCACTTAGAAATATTATCACAGTTCTACACTAAAATTTTCTTGGTTCACAGTCCTTGGTTCACTTTTTCCCTGTATTCTTCAATTCAATCCTAAAATAAAATCTTCGAAAACAAATGCAGTTGCTTCCAAGTAGTAAATATGTCTGTTAGATGCAGTTGCAGGTGGCCTGTCCTTGGTTTATGTTTGGTCACAGTGCCAGGCCCTCTGCTGGGGCAGAATCTGCCCCAGAGGCAGTGTGACTGCCACCTTCCCCTGCTGCTGGTTTCGGTGCAACTGACAGAATTAGGCTTGGGCCTTGAGGAGCCAGACGCTCTTCCTTCCCGGCTGCCGTCGGCTCTGTGAGGTTTGATGTGCAGGGCAACTTGCCAACACCCCAAAAAACACATTGTACGGTTCCACTGTCTGGGTGGAAATATAACATACTCTCTGGCACAGGCAAAGCATTCAAACTCAACGTGACAAACAGCATCACTATTTTATAACTAAAAGTTAATTGTAAAATTCATATTTCAAACATTGAAACAATTTATAATTAAAGGAATAATGCAACATTAAACAATTTCTGCTTTCTTACTAACCTGTACTATGACAAGTATGATGATGAAAACTATTATTGCAATGACATAGATGATCATTTTCAGGAACATAATAAACGCCATATGAAATAAAAGTAAAGGTAAAAAGAAAACACAAAAAAAAATACAAAGACAAATGCATCCACAAACAGAAGAAACAGGTAGAGCACCAGAGTATAAAGGAACACTATTCGTGCTTGCAGCTCAAGTGCAAGGTTCATGTTGCACTATCTCAAAGGTACTACTGGTCTAAACAAAACAACCATCAGGCAAAGATCCAATGCGACTTGCTGCCATGCAATACATCCTAGTATTATGCAAGGCTACAGTGTAACAAGGCAAGGCAGTTGCCAAAAGGGTACTATACACAAATATGAATGACATTCCATGCCAAATTACTACATACATAAATCAAAACATCAAGAAGTTTCCAAGAATACATACACCACCACAATAAAAGAAAATAAATTCTGACAAAAAGAGGTTGAAAAGAGGAAAAATTAGTAAACAAATGCTTAATTTGTTCATTCAAAACTTTCTTGAGACAGTCATAAAAACTGAAACATTCCATCATTTCTTATTCCTTCAGCTATGTTTTTATAAGTTCCTTCCTTATATTTAGTAATCCAAATTTTCCAAAAGAAGAAAGAGGTCTGTTTTAAAGATAGCACACAAAAGGATGCAGGGAACATTTTTTACAGTCACTGAAGTGAGCATAATGACATCCAAGCTAAATTTAACTGCTTGCACTCAGAATAGGGAAGAGGCAGAGCTGAGGAGCCAGCAAGCCACATCCTCTGGCATTTTGCCAAGGCCAATCTAATTTCTTGTTCAACAGCCCCTATTAGTTAACATGAATGGACATCTAACACACATCAGGTCACAAAAATGAAACTACTGAGTAAGGTAGAAGTGTGCTACATCTAACAAAAGATTAACATATATGTTCATGTATAATTCATTAAACAATTATTGCAGATTAAATAGTAACATATTCATCTTTGCATGCAAAATTATAGCTCAAATTTACATTCCAACTAAAGCTAAATAAACATGATAATTAAATAAAAAAGTTCTGTTTTTAGAAGAAAGAGAAACTGAAGCACTTAAAAATAATAATTTACTAGGTTTGGTCTTTGAATTTACTGATGGAAGATGCGTATGTCTTTTCTGATATAAACTCCTAAAAGCATTAAAAACAACAAACTTCACTCCAGTATGTCTCATATTTACTCTTTGTTAATTAACATTCTGATTGCTCTGAACTTGAGCATTGTTGAGATGTAACAATGCACTACTTTATTGCAATTCAATGAGACATTGCTACCAATTATAAATTGTAACAATTGGAAAAAATAGTTATTAATTAAGAATAATCTGAGAAAGTGTGAAAGATATATTCAACTTTCAAAAATTTGCTGAGAATAATAACATTTTTCTTCATTGAATAATTTAAATTGCATTTTATTTTTATATTTGAAAACTTGAAGGCAATGAAAAACATTTACTCAACAATTATTAAGTTTTTCTAGCATTATGCATTTTTATTGAATTTAAAATTATTAATGTAAGAAGAATCTCATACATTAAATTAGGAATGGTGTAAGTAATTACCACCTAAAAGCAAGGTCTAAATGAGAGAACCTGCAAGGCTTCTGTTTGAAAAACAACACCCAAATATATCTGGCACTAATTAAAGAACAGAATTGAACTGATGGATCATCAAGTGAATACTCAAATATTTCCAGAAGAATATGCTCCAATAAATTTTAGAAGATTCAACCATATGAATAAGAACAATCCTTATTCACCATATGGAGGATACTACTTTTAGAATTCTCGTCAATCATGGTATAATATCTACTCACCTTTGCTTCTAGTCTGTCATTATCATGTTTCAGGTGGTTTCGTTCTTGCTCTAAAGCTTCAACTTTTACACGAAGTGCTTCCAGTTCTTCCTACAATCACATGATACCTCAAATAATATTTAACATTAAGTACAGCTTTTTCAAGTCAACTTTCACAATTGTTTTTCATTTTCAACAAGAAAGAACTATATGAAAACTTACTGTTTTTTGTCGTAATTGTTCTTCTGTTCTATGAACATTCAATAAAGGGACAACTCTTACAAGCAATCGCCACCATGGCCACTCTCGAACTAATAAGAACTTCCTTACATTTCGTTGTATGCAACGAACAGCCATATCCTGAATCTGCAAATATATAAATAATGCATTAGTAATGTATTCTCTTTAAAATTCTTCAATGACATAAAATCTTGAGCATCATTATACCACAATTCTTATTAAATCACTTAATCAAAAGCAGATTGTTGCAAAAATAAGAAATATCTCTCTCATAAACTTTTATAAGAGAACCATAATTTTAAAACTTCTGTATTAACAACACAAGAAGTAACAAAAACTCTTGTTACACACTAGAAAATATAACTAATTATTTTCTGAAGATGCAGAAAGCTGATACACTTTTTTTACAATTATTACAATTAATTCTATAGAAAGAAATCTTGGAAAATTCCTGACCTTAATTTTGGCAAGTTTGCGCCTCGCCAGGTACCCCCGGCAGCGTGCTTGAAGTTGCACCACATGATCTGTCAATCGCTCGTCCCGCTGGGCTTCCAGTTGGGCAAGTACACCAGATCGAAAAAATATCTGTAACATTCAAATATAATAAACATAAGGACACTTATTGGACCAGAAACACACAACAGATTTTGGTATCCACAAAACAAGGCAATTTTATGATTCTAATAATTTAGCAACACATTCAGTAATAAAAGGTGGTAAGAAAACATGCAATTAGGGAAAAATAATTTCCTTTCAGGAAAGGCAATAAAGATAAGAGGAAACAGTTCAATAATTTTCACATTGTTTCATAGGTATCAATTACCCAAGTTTTAAGACACACTAAAAAATAACAAACAAAACATTAAATAATAGAAATGATACCTCTAATTCAGTTCTGTAACGTGAGTCAGAGAGCTGGCGACCAGTGTTGGCTCTAACTACACCTATACCACCAGCGATCGTCTCATCATCCAATGAATTCCCCCTCGCAAGCCCATTGTGCAGCATGTAATGGGAGTCCTCAGGCTCTGGCTGGACTGCATACAAGCCCCTTTTTATAAGGTGCTGGTCCCGGCACAAATTGCTGCAGAGCTCTTTGGGCAGAGAGCCAGTCCAATAGCCACCCGCATGATAGAGATGAATCAAACCAGTAGGTAGCTGTTGATCAGTGTCCCCTCGTGCCCGATGAAGTAAACTGGGAAAAAGTTTCCCATCGATATTTTCGTCATATACATTGCAACATGAAGTTTGATAAGTACTAGAAAACTTTTGGGTTGAATTTTCTTTCTGTAGGCTGACTTTGTCAACTAAAGAAGCAGATTCATTTTTTAAAACAGAAGCTGTCAATTTTTTTGAAGGAATTTCTTTATTACTGGGAAATGCATCTTTGGACAAATAGTCAACATTTTCCTTCTCATGTTGAATTTCAGTTCCTTTTGATTGAGGTTTATTCTTGTCTTCTGTGGTGTGGTTCTGAAGATTGAAGTTATTTATGATTGTTGACACTTTTGAAGAATCAATCACTTTTTTCACTTCTTTTGGGCTGGAAATTATTTTTTCTTTATTTTCAAATTTACTTCGCTGTAATTCAAATTTTGAAACACTTTCAGAATTTTCTGCAGGAATTTTGGAATCTATCCCTCTTATCTTATTTAGGTTCTCATTTGATACAGCAGTTGCAATACAAGGTTTCATAGAGTTTGTCTTTTCCACTATGTTCAAGTATTGCTCTCTTAATTTTGGTAAAACTTTAATTTCTGCTTCTTTGTCATTATTAACAGAACTTTTTAACATAATATCCAACTGTTTCTCTTTAACACAGTCCTGCATTTTTGCTACACTAGGAAAGTTTTCCTTCACCAAACATTCTTTAATAACACAAGAACTTTGTTTTATAGCTGGTCTTTTTTCTTCTTGTGCAACAACATTGACAGGATATTTCGTAGCATCAGTTCTAGGCACACTGGGTATCAAAGGTAACGGTTTTAAATGGAATTTTGGGAGGGGTTCAGATGATGGACTTCCACTATTTTTTTGAATGTTTTGACACAATTCTGAAATGCTCTTTTTCTCAATCACATTTTTGGAAAGATCTTCGCAACTGTTTGTAAATTTATCCTTTCCTCCGAGATATTTTCTTTCTAGAGCATCAAATTTAGACATTTCTTTGTCTTGTTTTGTTTCAGAAAGACCTTTACTTAATACTCCCAGAACACCATTTGACTTCCCAGAACATTCAACGTGTTTTTGAAACTTTGGAAGGACATCACCCTTGCTAAGATTTTCATCTTTCAAGGCAGTTCTAAAATTCTGTGAATTTTTTTCAAATTCAGTCTTTTTAGAAATTAATGTTCCATCTTTTGTTTTAGAAACTCCCAATAAATCACTTGGAGTTGAACATGAATCTGAATATTTTACGTCTTCATCATAACTTTTAGAATATCTCTCTTTAACACTTTCGAAAGTAGTATTAAAAGGAAATTTATTTTTATTTAATTCTTGCTTCTCATGCACCAGTTTTTCATAACCATTTGCACAAACATCATATGGCACTTTCTTGTTTTCTTTTTCAGATGTGTGTTGTTGTTGTTGCTCAAATTTTGCAATGGTCAGAGCGAATTGCGGATTCCTACTAACATTTTCTGAGGCAGCAAGGGGTCTCTGTGATATTAAAACCTTTTCCTTCTCTATTGACCATTGTTCACATTTCTTTAATATAACAGGGCTACAGTCTCTCTTTTTAGTTTCACGAACCTCATTCTTAGATACACTTGAAACAACCTGAACGGTGGACTTTTGCACTTTCTCTAAATGCTTCTTGCACATCAAACTAACATCAAAAATTTCTTCTGAAATTTCTCGTTCAGTTTCTTTCACTTTATTGGCACATGTTTCATCGGCAAGTACTTTAGCGACTTTTGCCTTGTATAAAGTTTCACATTGTTGAATTGAAATACTGGTTACAGGCTGAATTAACGGCATATCTGAGAGTACATTTTCTTCACCAATACTATCAATACTTGCAGTGGATAGTCTAGAAAATTTATCTGCGCTATCAGGATTTGAAATACTGTTTGGTGATCCAGGAAAATCCTGATTTTCATATTCTTCAAGAGGTGTCACAACCACTTCTGAACACAATGTACCAGGTTTCTCTGAATCATTTACATTAGTCAAAACCAGATTCTTGCAAGACTTTTCATCTTCTGAACTTTCCAGAGGTGTCACTAACATTTCAGTACATGATTTTTTGTCTTCTTCAGAACTATCAATAGTTGTCAGTGAACTGTGTTGCATTTCAATACCCTCACTTTCAGTAGTCGATGCTGAATCACATTCTTTTTCAAGAGCTTCATATTTTTTGAAAAGAGCCTCCCAATCACTTTTCTTCTTGCCAGTTTCATTACTTTCTTCAATATTACCGTTTTTCATTCCATCTTCATCTGAACATACAATGAGGCAGTCTGTCCCAGACAGACTGGTCAGAGAAGCGGGAATTTTTAGAGGGATTTTGCTCCCTCGGGCTGGAGGGCCTTCTTGAAGGCTGTTGCTTCTATTTTTTCGGGGTGGGAGGACAGGGGGAGGAGGCAAATATCCAACAGTTTCATTGCTCTCAAAATGTTCCTCAAGAAGTGCAGAGGGTAAAGGTGGCACAGGTGGAGGAGGTAGAGGAGGGTAACTGGTCCACTGATTATCCACTTCTTCAACTTCCTGCTTGATGTTGATATTCACAGCAACGTTGGTTGCTGGTGATGGCTGAGGTTGTGACTTTGTCTGCAGCCTGCTCCACACTGAGCTTTTCCCATTGAATATCTGTGTGTTGGACTGTGGGGGCAGCTCGGGTTTATTGACTTCGGTGCTGACATCATAGTTAACTGCAATGATTGTGGATGAGAGAGGCTGCTCGGCGGAGTCTTGCACTACTTGGATCGTGCTGCTGGCATGAGCAGGCGGTGGGGATGATGTCATATCCTCGTGGTTGGTCACAAAATCCACTGCTATGATTGTAGAGAGGTTTTTCGATGGCATACCAATACTTTCCAAGGAAGGAAAAGGGGGTATTTCTGGGGGTGTTTCATCCTCTGTCGTTTCATTTCCTGTAATTTCAATTACAGACTTAACTTCCGCATGATTTTCACTGTCATTTACATTACCAGGAATTTCAATCATGGATTTCAAACCCGAGGAGATATATTTGAGTTTTGATTTTGTCTCTTTAGAAGCAGTAGCGGTGACAGTGTTTTTAATAACAGTTTTATTCACACGACAAGAACTAGGCAGAGAAGTTTTTCTCTGAGCAGGATTATTTTTTCCTCCGGAAGTTTTTGCAGCGTCTGAAAGAGCGGAGAGATTTTCTCCAGACGCTTTTCGGGAGAGAGAGAGGTTCTTCTGTCCCATGCCCTTTCGCTCCAGGATGCCCTCGCTGGAGAAGCAGCGCTTGAGCTCCGACTTGCCATTGCGAGCGGCCGGCTGGACGGTGCTTTGGCGAGAGCCGGGCCGTGCCGGGTAGCCCCTCCGTTCCAGCGCCCCTTCGGTAGACGAGCACCTCGTCAGCTCCTTTCTGCTTCCGTTGGCGCCGTGGAGGATGTCGGGCGGAAACGGCGGCAGCAAGCAGTTGCTGGACGATCGAGTGGGGTCGGGCAGAGTCTTCTTGACGCTCGTTTTCATCTCGGCTGCAACGACACGAGGCACGGTGTGCCCCTTTTCCGCAGCCGGACCATGACCGACGCTGCCATTTTTGACAGGTGTCTTTAGGGCAGGCGGAGAACTACTTGCGTCACCGGAGGTGGGTTTGGATTTACCGCTCGCCGTCTTGCTCCGCGGGGGCGAAATCGGCTTCACATTGTTGCTCTTGTTACCGGTCGAGAGCTGCCGTTGCACTAGCGGTTTGGCGGGCGGGGTACATTTTGTGGACCATGCAGCCGTTGGCATGACTGCCCTTAACACGGGGTTCTTCTTGTCGATTAACTGTCTCAGCGATAGGAAGCACCACAACAACAATAACACTAACAGACAGAGCCACAGTGCGGGCAACTCCAGGAGGATCACGGTGTGCACAGAGAGCATGGAACGCCAGCCCTTGCGTACGGCGACTTCATCTCTCCACAAACTGCGCGAACACTAACCACTGCACACACGAAAAATCAAAATCGCGTCAACGAAGACTCCGCACAACGCACGACGAGAGTAACACGATCACCGCGGCCCGCCGCTCGCTCTTGGCATCTTCTCAGCAGACCACGTGCTCTGGCCAGCGAGTGTCAGCGGGGCGACGCGGGCTTCACATGCTTGTCCGGGGGCCGGGGGCACGACGGGCACGAGGGGGCCGAGGGGGAAGGGCGTCCTGCGTCGTCCGCGAGAGGGATGCGACTGGTGCGCGTGGCCCACAGCGCTGAGGACGCGGGCGCAGCGCCGGACTCCGACAGGTGGTTGTGGAGGGGGCGCGGCGCTGGAGGGGGCCGAAGCGAGGCGAGGCGGGTCGGGTCGCTGCCGCCGCCGCCGCCGCCGCCCCGCCCCCGCTGCAACGGGAGAGCGGGCGCCGAGTGTGTTCGGCGGGTGGCATGTTACGCAGGGGCGGCCGAGAG